GGCAGCAGAATAGAATAGACATTATGATTGATGTATGTACATTCCATGTATGTATTATATGTCAAAATACATTCTGCTGTCATGTATGACTAAAAAAAAATAAAAATAAATCGTATGGTTAAAAAAAAAAAAAGAGCTGGAGTTGTAGCTCAGTGGTGCTTGCCAAGCACGTGTGAGGCACTAGGTTCGATCCTCAGCACCACATAAAAATAAATAAAATAAAGGTATTGTGTCCATCTACAACTAAAAAAATACAGAATAAAAAATAAATAAAGTCTAGGTTAATGTTCTTTTCATTATATATTATTATTTTTCATTAATAGTCCTTCTCTCCCACCACCATATACATAAGAAAAATATAATAATTCATACAACAGTTCATCTTCATGGAAATTAAGAGACTACATACATATTTACACACATATATCCACCTATACTTTATAGTGCACATGAAAGCAATTACTTATCAAAAGGTTAATTTTTTATATTAACCTTAATCAAGAAAATTCCTACTACATATTTACAAAAACATCGATGTTTTTCTTTTTCCCCAGAAGCTGATAAATYGTATTAAAGTTTGTTTAACACATTTCTTTAACATTAGCAACAAGGAGAATTCAATTCTCATGCTTAAAGAACATTCACATCATGCCAACCTCAAAACATTCTGTTCAACATTCTGGGGACACAGGAGTAAAATGACAAGTTCTTTCCATTATAAAGCTTATATTCTGATAAATACTTGCAACAAAAAGAATTCAATTAACATCACAATGTGTCCAAAAGATATTAAAATATTTTACAACATTGATAGCCCCATCTGCCCATCAGAGAAATGAGAAGAATGACTTACGGTTGCATCGTTTCTGTACAAAGCGTAATTTGCAAGCTGTTCTGTAAGTTGATAATCGTATGACATCAAAATTCTGTGCACCTGAAAAAAGGGCAAAAAAAATGTTCAACTGGATTTACCACTGAATTTCTTACGCTAGGAAGTGGGGCTCCACCACGTGACCACAGCACTCAGCGGTCGGCCAGGCCTTCTGAGAAAGCCAATGTGCAGGGAGAGTGGGAGACACTTCCTCCCCTTCCCACTACAGGCAGGACTCTGCCAGCAGCCTTGCCAACATCACCCTTAGGTTGGGCTAAGTAAGCTGAGGAAGGCTGGCTCACAACTTGAGGGACCTATGCAATCAGAGAGGGGAGCAGGTGGGGTTGCAGGTGGAAGAGCAGGAAGACGCAAGCCTCGATTCAGGAAAGCTAAATTCCAGCCCCAAAAAATCGAATGTGACGCAGCCACACTGCATATTTCTTCTCAGCCTTGGTGTCCTCATCAGCAAATCAAGGGGACTGGACCAGCTGACAAGTAAGCCTCGTTTCCAGGACTGTGGGAACCTGTACTTTCCTAAAAATGGCCACAGGGGTATTCCCAGAGCTGTGCTTTATGTACTTCTAGTACAACATCCCTCCCCTGCACTTGAACAGGAGACTGTAACTGATCAGAATTCAACAGAAGTGGAGGGAGGTGATAAGACACAGCTCAGCTTGCCCCTGCTTCGGCAGGATGCCTGCCCTGGGAACCCAGCTGTCATGTTGTGTGGAAATAAGAGACCGAATGGCCAGTAGGCAGGGGCCACAGAGCAAGGTTCAGACGTAGAGGAATGGAGTCCATGCACCAAGACACTCTCAACTGCCAAACCTGTGAGTGAGTGAGTGAGTGAGTGAGTGAGTGAGTGAGTGAGTGAGCCTTAAAAATGACTCAGCCCTAGGGCTGGGGATGTGGCTCAAGCGGTAGCGCGCTCGCCTGGCATGCGTGCGGCCCGGGATTCGATCCTCAGCACCACATACCAACAAAGATGTTGTGTCCGCCGAGAACTAAAAAATAAATATTAAAAATTCTCTCTCTCTCTCTCTCTCTCTCTCTCTCTCTCTCTCTCTCTCTCTCTCTCTCTCTCTCTCTCTCTCTCTCCTCTCTCTCTCTCTCCTCTCTCACTCTCTCTTTAAAAAATAAAAAATAAAAAATAAAAAAATAAAAAAGATGACTCAGCCCTGAGCTTTTACCTTCTAACCAAGACCTGGGACATTCAGAACAAAGTCAACAAGTCAGAACTGGATGTCTATACCCACAAAACTAGAAACAAAATAAATGATCATTTAGGGTAACACAGTCATAGTAACTAGAATRCCACCTAAAATTACATGTCTACAAATTAAACTTTATTCTCACTGTATAATTTGCTGTAAATAAAGTCTCCTTCGATTTTAAGGTCATTTCAGATAGGTTTGGTCTCCAATGTGAGTTCCTTATTTCATCTATGCTGCCTTAATTCTTGACTCACTAAGGAGAAACTGAACTGGAATAAATTATCTTCTACAGTATTCATAGGCATCGCTCATTTCCACTCCACAGTATAGAAGGAGAAACAGGATTCTCCAGGTTCTTGGGGAAAGTAATTGACCAAAAGTAAAATATTTCTTTTAGTCTCACTTCTATCAACCTTTACCTTGATGCCATGATTAAAATTATTTCTTCTACACCTGGTTCTCACAAAAATTTCTATACTTCTATACCATTATTATGTAGTCCTACTTTTTTTGAGATACAAAAACTTCTTGTTTGGTGGTGCTGGGGATTGAACCCAGGGCCTTGGGCATGCAAGGCAAACACTCTACCAATTGAGCTATATCCCCAAYGTGAGATACAAAAGCTTTATTTAAGAGGGGCACAGTGATGCATGTCTGTAATCCCAGCACGTGGGAGGCTGAGGAAAGAGGATCATGAGTTCAAAGCCAGCCTCAGCAAAAGCAAGGTGCTAAGCTGAGGATCTGGCTCAGTGGTCAAGTGCCCCTGGATTCAATCCCCAGTACCCACTCACCCCCCCAAAAAATACTTTATTTAAATATGATTTAGGCCAGGCGCAGTAGTGCATGCCTATAATCCCAGCAACTTGGGAGGCTGAGGCAGAAGGATTGCAAGTTTGAGGCTAGCCTTAGCAATTTAGCAATGCCCTAATCAACATAGTGAGACCCTGTCTCAAAATAATAAAAAGGTATTGAGATATGGCCCAGGTTTAATCCCTGGTACCCAAAAAAAGGAGAAAAAAATTCATATACCATACAAATTATTCATAAAGTATACCATTCAATGGTTATTATTACATACATAAAATTGTGCAATTATCATTATAATTGGTTTACAAAATTTTCATCATCCAAAAGAGATCTCTTCCGTTAGCCGTCACTTTGCCTACTATTTAATTGGGTTATCTTACAACCAACTAGGGAGAAGTCACAAGACATATGATTTGCAAATATTCTCTCCGTTCTGTAGGTGATCCTTTCACTCTCTTGAAGTACAAACGTTTMTCATTTAAGTCCAATTTATCTATTTATTCTTTCATCATCTGTGCTTCTGATGTCATATCCAAGAAGATTCACACCTGTGTTTTGTTTTTAAGTTTTTTTCTCTGTACTTAGGTCTATGATTTTTAGTTAATCCGATATATAGTGTGAGGTAAGGACCCAAATGCATTGTTTCACATGTAGTTACCAAGTTTCTCCAGCACCCTTTGTTCAAAAGACTATTCTTTCCTCATTGAATGATCTTGAAATCCTTGCCAAAAATCAATTAACCAGGGGCTGGGGTGGTGGCTCAGTGGCACAGTGCTTGCCCAGCATGTGTGAGGCACTGGGTTTGATTCTCAGTACCACATATAAATAAATGAATAAAATAAAGGTCCATCAACATCTAAAAAAAAGAAAAAGCAATTAACCACCACTGACTCTGGTGACATAAGCTTGTAATTCCTGCAACTCAGTAGGCTGAAGCAGAAGGATCACAACTTCAAGGCCAGCCTCAGTAACTTAGGGAGGTCCTAAGTAACTCAGTGAGATCCTGTCTCAAAAAATAAAATATGAAGGACTAGGGATGTAGCTCAATGGTAAAACGCCCCTGGGTTTAATCCCCAGCACCAAAAAAGAAAAAAATAACAACTGATTGACCATAAATATATGAGTTTAATTCCAGACTTTCAATTCTACCCTCTTAAACGTCTCCCAAAGGCCCATGTGCTAAAGGTCAAAGTCTTACTCCCCAGTGAGATGTCACTGTGGTATAGTCATTAAGAGGTGAACCCTACAGGCCAGGACATAGCTCAGTTGGCAGAGTGGTTGCCTTGCATGCACAAAGCCCTGGGTTCAATCCCCAGCACCAAAAAAAAAAAAAAAAAAAGAGGTGGGAAGTCTTCAACTCATGGGGATATGTCCTCAAAGGGGCCGAGGGACCTTGGTCTCTTCTGTCTTTCATTTCTGGCCATATGAATGGCTTCCTCTGCTGTCTACTTCTACTATGATGCACCATTTCACCAAAGACCCAAAAATAATGAGGCCAAGAGATCATGGACAGAAACCTTCAAAACTATGTGCTGGGGCACTAAGCCACATCCCCGGCCCTTTTTATTTATTTATTTATTTATTTATAAGACAAGATTTTGCTGCTACATTTGCTCCTTTTTTTCCTCCACAGTTGCTCTTTTTAAAATTGATTGTTCCAGGTATTCTGTTACAASGATGGAAAGCTGACTATGTGTCTATTCTTATGGAGGAGCACATGACCTAGATTAATATAACTTTGCAGTAAGTTCTAAAGGCAGAACATGTGAGTCCTCCAACTTTTTTCTCCTCTTCCAAGATCATTTTGGTYCTTCTAGGTCCTTCAAGTTCTCATATGAATTTTATAATCAGCCTACCTATTCTGCAAAAAAAGCCAGTAAGGATTTTYTTGATCCTGAAATTGAATCTATGAATCAATTTAGGAAATATTGCCATATTAACAGTATTAAATTTTCCAGTTGATTAACACAGAGCATCTTTCCATTTATTTAGGTCTTTCTTAACTTCTTTCAACAATGCATTGCAGTTTTTAGCACACAGATTTTATACCTCTTTTGTTAAATTTATTTCTATTTTCTTTTACTCATTTAGCTTCTAAATATATTACCATCTCAACCTAAATATTTTAAATAGGGACCACTAAACATTAATTAATCAAAAGCAAACCAATGGTTTAAAGAAACAATGTTGACAAATATAAAAGTTCATTTAATAAATAAGCTGTCATTAGATCACTACGTTAATTTTAATCTCTATTTTTATGAAAGATTTTAATGAGAAATATTGACAAAACAAATGAAAATAACTAGGAGAAGAAAGTTCTCATTCCCAGTTCACAAAGAGAAAGATTACCAGTCCGGTCAGACTGCAGGGCATTCATTAGGCCATGTTTGCCTATGAGGCCATGTTTGGAGGAGAAAGTCAGTGAACTTGGTATAACTTGTTCCCTTCAGACTCTGGTGCAATCAGAGTCAGATTTGGGTACTTCAAAAAAATGAAATACAGCAAATATTACATAAGTCCAAAGCTAAGTAGTTTTGGAAAATGAGAAAGCTATATGCTCTAGCCCAATGTGTCAGAGATCTCTACCCTAAAGTTCCAGGTACTGGTGAAGAATCAAGTGTCACTCTCCTTTCCTTTGCCATTGTTCTTGTGAAAACGCCCCACTCTAAAACCCAGTAGGAGAAGGTTCAGACAGTGGGATAGCCCAGGATTCTGCAACTGTAGGGAGTCCTGGTCATGATACCACTTTTAAAGATCTAATAGCAGTCACATGCCAAAATAATTTCTGAAAGTAAGATATAATCAATACCTTAGAAGTTCATCAAAACTTTGTTGTGCCAACATTCCACCCACCAGGTTCCAAAACTTCCCACATGTCTACCTGCTTCTGGATTTAAAAAAAAAAWTTTTAGTTTTTTAATTGTAGTTGGACACAATACCTTCATTTTATTTACTTATATATGGTGCTGAGGATCGAGCCCAGGGCCTTGCATGTGCTAGGCAAGGGCTCTACCGCTGAGCCAAAGCCCAGCCCCTGCT